AAATTAAGTAAACTTGAGATGTTCTGGAGGATTTGTGGTGGGCGAAGCTGGCTTTGATCCTTTAAAAATCTTGTAACAACGTGGCTGTGAGAAGCTTTTGGTGAAGTCCAGTCTAGTCACTTAAGCTTCTATGATCTTCCTTGGTCTAGGATCTCTTCTAATTCTGATCCAGAATATGCTAGTTTTGAGGATGATAAAACTGAGAAATCAAACACAAGTAATGACTTTAATATACCTACATTCCAGGAAATTGTGCACCACAAATAAGAGTCCCGATTCAGCTGTCCGTTCTGAAGATCTCTATGGGTTAATGTTTTTGTCATATAAACAGATAGTATTTTGGTGAAGCAAAGATAAATTCTCCCTCCAATATCACCAAAAATAAAATAGCTCAATCAGCTCAGGTGTAATTTTGAAATCCAGAGGTCATGTAGTTGTGCTGATTGATTATTGTAATCAATAAAGAGAACATTGAAAATTTTAGGTTATTGTTTCTTTTCTGAACATCTCATGTCTTTTTGTTGCCTGTCCTCTTTGCTCCCAACTACATAGAAAAAATTGAGGATGAACAGAAATGAAAGAAGAAAGGAAAAGTTATAGAATCTACATTATGTGGAACCTTTAGTTACACTCAACATACAGTTTTTGGTGGCGATCTGACATGATTTTCGTGCCTCTCTGATCCGACACGCCCCCACATCTTTGGAATAGAGTGCAACACGTGATGTGTAGGTTAGGCGTATGTCACGGATTCGAACCTTTAAGTGGAGAAGGGTAGAAGGGCGGGACCATTATCGGATTATCCAATGTGTCTTGAACTGTGCGCCAGTAACCCTCAGGGATTTCTCGGTTATAAAAAAATAAAAATAAAAGAGACACCGTCTCCGGTCAGTACGAAAGAGTTGCCTCTCAGTGTATACTTTTTATTTCGCGTAATCTTCTGAGAGAGTTGATGGTCTGTCCTCCGTCAGTGAGAGAGACTTCTCCTTCGTTGAGATAGATGCAGCAAGACAGCTCAGAGGCAACTCTTATCACTAGGGTTATGTTTAATTGGAAAAAAAAGGTTTTGCTTAACTTTGAGATGAACTGGAAAACAGATTGCAATACTTTAATAGGGGTGGATTGCCAATAATAAATTATGAATCAGGATATCTAAGACAATTAAGTTTAAAAGAAATTTGTGTTAGCGTGATACACACGACGAGAAAACAGAGTTACGCTCACTTGCATCATGCTTAGAGGTTAATAACTATGATGTTTTAATGATATAGAAGCATATTTGCACAACCCCAGAATTACCTGATCCCTTTACTTGTAGCAGTGCTTCTATCTGCATCCTTGAATCCTTGAATTTATGGGAAAGCGAAGCTGACCTATATATTCGTGCTCATATTTAATACCCACACCTGAGTCTGTGTAACATAGTATAGAATACATCTATTGCTTGTCAATTCTGTTTAGAGAGAAATTTCCACTACCTCTGTTTATCCAAATCTCAACTATTCCTGTATCATTAACTTCATATTTGATGAGATTTGCTGTTTTGTGGTCATTGAACTTTTGTTATCGCGGTTCATTAGTTCTCCTGTGAATTGGGAACTGGGTAAGGCCATTCCTGAATTTACATTAGTAATTTGAAATGTAAAAGCTAGTGATTTAAAATCATATTTCGTTGTACAATTTAGAGGCAGTTTTTTTTTAAATTCTGCTCAATTAAGTAACTGTGATTCTAATAATTGTTGTATTAGTAAGATTGCTATTTGATGCATTTCAAATTCTTCATAACTTGAGAAATTGTCATCCCTTTGATTAGTGTTTCTTAAATTATGTCAATTTAGAGAAGGGTAGCGAATTGAAAAACTTGTTCCCTTCCACTAAGTGACCTATGCATAGGCCCGAAACTTTACTCATCCATGTTTTCTGCTTGTTACAGCCTGATTGCTTGAGTGACTTAGCTTATGTCATCATGCAAGGGATATGCAAGTTATGTTATAGAGTGTCAGAAGCTGATGTCATTCGTGCACGTAATCAGGTATTCGTTTACTCCTCAGCTATTCTTTTGGTCCTATTTTAAAGGAGAGCTTTTTGCCTCTATTTAATTTGAAGGGACCTTTCCCTGTTGACTGGCATGTCTTTTTAGCAATATCAAGAACTTATATTTTATGTACTTAATTTCTGCAGCTCAAATCTTCTTTGATGCTCCACATTGATGGATCGGGCCCTACTGCTGAAGACATTGGACGGCAGGTAAAATCAAGTAGAAAGTATTTGTAACTAGAAACAAGCACAGGAGAGAGTATTTGGCTCCTTAGGTCAGAGACATTTTTTAGTCTCCTTGCTCTTAACTTCATGAAATAAAGTTACTATCATCATAAAAAATAGAATAAGGCTCTGCTGTAGAATGAAATAGAGGGAGCAGTAGCTCCTCCAAAGCCAACCAAGAAGAAAACAAGGATAAGAGTTCAAGAAGAATTTGGGAAGAAAATATTCTCTCTTGGTTCTCCTGATTTAAAAAATACGGGGCGAGAAGGGAGTGGGAAGAAAATGGAAGGAAGACTCCATCAGTCACAAATTAACTGGAATTTTCTTCCGAGGCTTAGGCTGTAAATCAAAGATATGTTTGGTCCCATAACAGGGAGGGGAAAGGTGAAGGGGAGAGACCTTTTGATTTACTTTCTTTTGCAAATTGTGGGTCATTTGGTTCTGGTTATTAGATGGAAGGAAAGTAAAAGAGATATGCTTCATCTGAAAACCCTTTTCTTTCACTTCTCATCGAAACCTTCATCTTGTAACAACTTCATGTTGAGCTTAAATTAGAGATTAGCATCTTGGCCTTCCAAAAACTAGGTAACAAGACTGACTCTTCTAACATCAATAGACATTTTGTTTCATGACTCTGCTGACAGGGCTCTGGGATCACTTACACATTATGGCAGAAACGTAGCTTTAACTGTCAATTGTTTGATATTACCGTATTTGAGATGAGTCGGAGGAATCATCGAAAGAAACTAGGAACTAAAAAAACTTGTGCCTAGATGCATTGATGTTACTGTCACTTTCTTCTAAATGAATGGAACCTAGATGGCTAGATGGTAGAAGCTTTGCCGTAGTTAATTCAATTACCCTCTTCAGTATCTGTGTGCTAGATGCTTTGTGGTTAAAAGGATGACCTTTAATGCATTCTTGTCAACTGATGCTACACTTTGAAATTACTAAATTTACTTACAGTTGAAGTTTTTCTCCCTTTCAGTTAATCACGTATGGCCGCAGAATTCCACATGCTGAGTTATTTTCCAGAATTGACAGGGTCGATGCTGACACTATCAAGCGAGTTGCAAATCGCTTTATTTTCGACAGGGTAAGTCCTTGAGATCTCCAGTACATCTAGTATCAGTCAATAACTATTTAAAGTTTTAACCCATTTTTAAGAGAAATCAAACTATTTGTCATGATACATTTAAGGAAAGTTAGGTTTAATCTAGAGCTTCTTTTCTTCAGTAGTACTGGAATAAAAAATAAGTGATTACACTCGCATTATCTCCCCATGCTGTAGGTTTGTAGGATGTGATTTTTTTTTTATTATCTCCCCATGATTTTTTTGGTTTTATTTTATTATACATTGGGGGAGAATTAACTGTAGGATTGAGCCTTCTTTTCTATGCTTTTCCCTCTGTAGGACATTGCAATATCAGCAAGGGGACCGATTCAGGATTTGCCTGATTATAACTGGTTCAGACGCAGGACATACTGGTTGCGCTACTAGATTGCTTATTCTTTCTTCAAGGCTTAAAGTCATTTTGTTTCCAAGTTGGAAGCCTGTCACTGGGCATTATACACATGGTCTACAAAAACACTTAGTTAATAAAATAAGTGACAGATTTTGTTGATCACATTCCTTTTTTTGTACATGGTGTTAATGACGAGTAGAAAACACTACTTGCGGAAGCCTTTGGCTGTCAGTTCAGTCAGCATAAATTGGATCTTTTTCTTATGCAATATATTACGAAAATTGCATTGGATATTCTCCCTGTATTAGAATCATTTGGGTAAAGTATGCCGTTGGTGGTACTGGTTTTGTTATGCGTATGCGTGAAGTGATCTCTCTCTCTCTCTCTCTCTCTCTCTCTCTCTCATCGTTTTCTTGTGGCAGAATGCTTCGTTTAACCCTTTTAAATTCTGTGGGGTGTAAGCACCAAGTTACAGGGATTAGGTGGGTCATCCCAGTATTAAATTTGTCGTCGTGGGTATTAGTTAAAACATGGATAACATTTATACCAAAATAATGAGATTCTCAATCTCATATAGAAGGTGGGATTATCTATTTTGGGTATAATTCCAGGATTATAATCGTGGGATAACCTGATTCTGAACCAAATGATGCTAACTGCATTTATATGAATTTCTACGGTTTAATATACATTTGTGGTTGGGTACATCTGAAGAGTCTGTTATATATAGCTTACACTTTGCAACTAAAAAATGGCTAATCGAACTCACTTTTATGTCTTATATGTATACTTCAAACAAGTAATTTCTCCATATGTTAAGAACTGAAAATCAAGGTATAGCTTTATATAATGCTGGTGAGAATAGAAATCTGAATGCTAACTTCTATCAATGAATAATTTTAGTCATTGAATTTTGAATCCGAGAAGAAACCCCGTCTCAAATTATTTTTTTACTTCTGTTTCTGATTTTTCAAGCTTCACTGCCTCAATACTGCTTGTTTCTCTGTTTTAAAAGAACCTATCTTATTTGCGTCTCCCCATACTACTGTTTGGTTAAGTTCAGATATTTATACGTTTTTTTTGGTAATGGTGGTGTCGGGACCAGTTTATGCCTACCTCAACTATTTCACCGGATACCCGTTATCTCTCACCAGCAAAGACCCATAGTAACTCCACTTAAGCAGATGCAAATAAATCAGATAGCGTTTTTTCCTGATGGGATTTGAACTCGATGGTCTTTTACACTTTAGTACTTCAGTAAGTGAAGTGCTAGTTCAGATGTCCAAAAAAAATTCAAGATTAACTTGACTACATATTTAAGAATTTCAACATTTGAATTGGATGTCTATTGTTCATCACAATATAGGTATGTTCACATGATATACTATTGACAACTTTGTGTTGTCTATCCGTGTAAAGTGAGTATGCTCAAGATAATTGCTTAAGCAGAAGACAAGAAATTGTTGAACCACTTTACAGAATTCTTGGGATATCTCTTGAGATTGTCATTGTAATCAACATAATAAAGACCAAACCTAGAGGAGAATCCTTCTTGCCATTCCCAGTTATCCAATAGAGACCACACAAAGTATCCCTTCACATTGCAACCATCTTCTCTGTATATCAAGCAAAATCAAATATTAACTGTTATCAACGGACAAAATCGTCGTAACGCCTGTTTATGTGATCGTAATCCTTGAGTCAGACGATAACTAATTACCTGATTGAAGCTAACAAGTTTGTGAGATAGTCTTTGTGATACTTGATTCTTTTCTCATCCTTTAGTGCATCTTTTCTAGAGATGAATAGACTATTTGGGTCATCCATTCCTTTAGAAGTAGTTCAATAGAAGTGCAGTCAGTCAATAGATAAACTAATTGAGAGAAAAGCACAAGACAAAGTTGGTTTTGCTGAGCTGAAATTCATGATTTTCTCCGGTATAAATGCTTAACATGGTACACATCTTAGACAACTTACCATTTTCTGTGATTATAATCGTGGGGTTCCCGTACTTTACACGAATGTAATTCATTAAGCTTCTGATACCATGAGGTACTATGAATAACCATACTGAATTTGCCTGCAAGTCAAAAAGAACAATAACATCAGTAAGTAAATATTGTTCAATGAGCATAGTGTTAATACCATATTAACAGTCTCTCTGTCACCAGGATAGGGGTAAGGTCGGTGTACACCCTATCCTCCCCCGACTCCACCCGTGAGAATCCATGTTGTTGTTGTCGTTGTTAAAACAATATTAAGTGTATTCCATTCTGCAGTATTACTTACCCGGTCTGGTATTGGCTTCCCCAAGCGCAATGCTACAAAAGGTAGCGACAAGTACTGGTTAAGCAATAAAGCGCGATCAACATTACTATTGTATAGAATGAGAGAAGAGGATTGAAAACATACGAAGAACAGTAGCACCAGAATCTGAAGTTGTGTCATTGAACAAAAATCCAATCAAGTTAGTAATGTTGCTTCTTGCATACCATGTAGTATAGTGATTTATGCCTATAAAATCGAACGAACCCTTGAGTAGAGATGACTCCTCTTGAGAGAATTTTGGCAACCGGCTTCCAACTCTGCTGATCATTGTGCTTGGATAATTACCAAAGACTAATGGCTCAATAAACCTGGATTAGACAAAACTTTCACACCATCAATTCTTCGTAATCTCTAAGCTCGAATGTATTGGGAGGTGGGAATAAAGTCTCACATGGAAAGTAGATAGGAAAAATAAGTTACTTATAAAGAGTTGGATACTCTTAATGGTGTGAGGCTTTTTGGGAAAATCGTGCGGGCTTGGCCCAAAGCGGACAATATCATACCATGTTAAGAGTATTTTTGAGCAGTTTTAGTCCAACAACTGGTATCAGAGCTAATAATTTGTCGTGAAGAGTATGAGGATGACAGAGTGATGGAATAGGGCCTGGCTTAGTGCCTTTGCCCGTCTATGGGCTGGTTTACTATCTTTACCCGTAGTTTCAAAGATGTATACACAACCTCTCCTCTGGGCTTCGGTGACCATAAATACTCGGATCATGTGGATGTAGAAAGGAAAAATAAGCTACTTAAAGGAGTTAGATGCTCTTAATGGTGCGAGTCCTTTAGGGAAAATGAACTTGATCCAAAGCAGATAATATCACATCATATTAAGAGCAACAGATTATAAAATGAGTAGATTATCGAATAGATAATATAAGTGCTCGATTTTACATCTGCAACAATTGAGCTTAAGTATGAGTCAAAAGTACTTACCAGCCTAGCTGAAAATCCATTGCTCGTTTTGTTGCTTCGATATCTTCTTTGTGGTTAGTTGCTGATTCATACCAATACGAATCTAACGATATCCCAATTGACCCTTGTTGATTTTGCTGTCAATATATATCACATGTCATTTTGTATAAAACCATGCTACAAATAAAGAATGGTAATCTGTAACAAGTTAGTGAAAGTTATGTCCTTAATTATTAGGATCAGTACCTTATACTTTTGCCTATAAATGTTCACTGCAGTAGCATGAGCCAAGAGAGCATTGTGTGCAGCAATGTAAGGCTCAGTACCAGAATTCCCTTCACTACAAAAGGCATGAAGGAGGATAGAGCAACGCGCCGGTGGTTGGCTGCCTAGATCATACCCTTGTTGCACAAAATTATGGGGTTCGTTGAGTGTGATCCAATGCTTTACTCGGTCACCAAATGCTAGAAAACACGTCTCTGCATATATCGCGAAGTCTTGTCTGCAATGAGTTAAGTGATCTAAGTTTATAGTATTATGTTTTACAATATTTATTTTTACCAAAGATAGAGAAGTTAAATTAATAAGCTCCTATTTACATGATGTCTGGACTGAGCCATCCCTTGTATTTATCTTCCAGAGCTAGAGGAAGGTCCCAGTGGTAGAGGGTCACATATGGTCCAATCCCTGCAAAATGAGACTATGATTAGTGAGTCAAATGTCAACCACGAGAAAATATTTCAAGAAAATGAGTTATTTTCTATTGAAATGGTGTGTTTGGTTGGACGTAAAATATTTTGTGGAAAAAATATTTACTAAAGATCGATAATAGTATTAGCAAATCCATTAGTGTTTTGATTAGACTTCTTGAGTATTTAAGATGGATAATAATGTCTAAGTGTTGGTTAAACCAGTAATAAGAAACTAAGAGTTGAGATAATTGGGTGAAGGGAGGTCAATTTTCACCCTTTTCGTGTAAAGTCTTTTCCTTCAAAAAATATTTTTTGGCAGTCAAACACCAGAAAATGACTCGAAAATATTTTTACCTTCAAAAATATTTTTGGCAGCCAAACACCAGAAAATGACTCGAAAACGTTCTTTCCTTCATAAATTAAATACACCCTAAGCTTACCGTTGGCCAATAACGAATCAATGACTTTGTTATAATGATCTACTCCAGCCTGATTGATCTTCCCAGAACCGTCTGTATAAACACATAATTAGTCTAAACAATTAAAAGTAAGATTTTAAAGATTTTTTTTTTTTTTTAAAAAAAAGGAAGGAACATGATGTTAGAAATGAACTATTTGCCACTAACTCAAACCCCTCTCGTCTTTTTTTATTATACTTAAATTTATTTAACCTCGAGTTTGACTTAGCTCCATACAATTATACAAGTGTAATAAAGTAGCTAGAGTTTGAGGATATGAAATATTACTATAGTCGTAGTTGCGCGATGCACGGTCAATATTAAAAAATATTAATCAAATTAAATTGTGATTGAGCTTGTTTGAACATTTTAGATCGTTTTGCTTTAATAAATTTCAATTGTTATCTTATTTGTCGATATAGTATACCCGATAATAAAATCTCTATTAAGTCAAAGGAGACTCATACAGTGATCGAATAATTTTTTTGTTATGTATTTTTCTTTATTATATTATCTAATATTTAGTATTATTACATTGTAAATATAAATTGTTATTAATGTGTTACTTTGTTTAATAAGCCACATATAAAATTAGTTATTTTAAAAAAATAAAAAAACCTGAAATTTGTAGTTCCTATTTTATAGGAGTGTTGTCATACATTGCCAAATGGCCTATTGTGAGGCTGCCACTTGACGTAATGTGGAGGCTCTTCCCTCTCTTTAATAATATAATATTATAATATTATAATTATAATTATAATATAGCTATAGATGTTTATAGTGAAAAAAATCTTAGTGGAATATATTTTTGAAAACAAACTTGGTTAATAAAATAGAGATATAGATAAAAAGAAAACTTACTGGGAAATATCCTAGACCAAGCAATGGAAAGCCTAAAAGCATCCATTCCCATGTCCTTCATCAGTTGTATATCTTCCTGTTTCAAGAAAATACTTTTCCAATATCAATATACTAGTATACTTGTTACATTATTAGTATAGTCTGACCTGTATTACAGGTCCCTTATCAATTTTTATCAGATTATAAATTAATATTTATAATAAAATTTACTTGTAATTAAATATTCATGGCCAGTTTTTCTTTAATTAATTGAAAAGTGACTTACTTGGAAACGGTGATAATGATCCAACGCGACATCTGCATTGCTAAAGTCGAGTATTTTACCTTTCACCCAAAGCCAAATATAACAACTTATTAAACATTGCACCATCTTTACACTTTGCCAATTGTAGCAACATTATTAATTTAAGTAAAAAAAACGCAACAATTAGACTTCAATTTTACACTAGTTCTTATGAGGTGAAAAAGTCAAAGAATTGCAATCTTGCTGCGCTGCTAATATTTTTCTATGAATTTGAATGAACAAGCATAACTAATGAAAATTTCAGTTACAATATAAGTAATAGCTAGATTATAGTATGTTGTAATTTGGTCATAAAAAAATTCATCAGATTTACATCACTTGATTTATACTAATTTGTCTATAACTATAATATTTTAATATGACAGTGTAACTATCATGCATGTGTTAGATCCATAAGGGTACATATATAAAATGTTTTGTAGCTAATTACCAAAAGTATGTGCAAATTTGTCCCATATAGTTGGACCTCTTCCATCTTCTTTCACGGCGCCTTCGTACTGCCAACATATTTTCAAATAACACATTACATAAACTATCATGCAAGTTGAGACCAATTTTATATTGTATTCTGCTAACTAAAAAATAAAATAAAATAAAATAGAACAGCCCGGTGCAAGATATCCAGTGTTCACCGGGAAAGGGTCATACCCCAAAGGATGTAATTTAAATAGCCTACTATAGTGTAAATATTAGTGACTGCTTGTACGGCTCGAACCAATAATATATATATGTGTAGGTCACACGAAGACAACTTTACTGTTAGTACTCCAAGGTGCCACTTTGTTCCGCTAATTATTTCTTATATTTAGATATGTGATTTTTAGATTAATAATTATACCTAATATATAAATGTTGTAGGCATTAGGGCAGCAAATAAGTTGCGTCTTTTGTACCAGTTCTATTTTTCTTTTGGTTTAACTTATATACATTGCTATGTAAAAGAATTTTACATGATCGGATTACTTTAAAGGTAATTTGTGAACCTATTTGATTCGGTATGAAGTTTAAGAAAAAACTTTCGAAGCGTATGATCTTAAACCGTATTTGTGTGATTATAAGACTTTTGAAATTTAAAGTCTTAAACATATCATAATATTTGTATGGGAAGTAAAATAATTTTTATATATTAAGGTAAAATGAAAAATTCATGTTATTCTTTTCAAGTTTAGAAAAATATAACGAGCTAAAAAGGAAAAAAGATCACAAACTGGAGTGGAGGCAATATATAAGAAGAAGAAGAAGAATATAGACAAAGATAGATGATTCAAGACAACAAAAATGAAAATGAAGAGAACGAGTAATGGAAATTCTCGGAGACAAAGAAATAAGATAATTAGAAAAAATAATACCGTCAGACCTCTCTATAACAATACTTCACTATAAAAGCCAAGCTTTTTTGAAACTAATTTTTATGTTACGTTATAATATATATATGTTCTTTACAACAGCACTTCATTATAACAGCCAAAAATATTCGGAACAAACGAGACTGTTATAGAGAGGTTCTGTTGGACCAAAAAAGAAACAAACCTGATAAGCAGCAGAAGCAGTTCCAAAAACAAAACCTTCTGGAAAGCTTCTTCTGTTTATGTTCTCTTCAGCCAAACAAATTCCATGAAACCCAACCAGAAATAATACCATCATTGCTACAAATTGGTCGTTTTTACTCCTCAGCAACATTTTGGCAGCTATTACCTCTTGAATATAGTACTGTATATAGAAGAAGAAATTAGAAAAGAGCAATCTTTATCATATTTATGTACCCGTACACCAAGTATCTCGTGTTCATGCAAGGTTCGGTGAAAGACTGTATCCTAAAAGGGTATAATGTAAGCAATCTACTCTGATACAATCACATCGGCTGATTCTACGGCTCGATCCAAAGTTTTGTACGTCAAAAAAAAACTATCCTTTGAAGTAGAGACTCATGACATTAATGAAGTTGAAGTTTGTGGTTTGGTTGTTGAAAACTCAAAAATGGTGTGAACTTTGAAATAGAATTAATGGCAATCATGGGGTCTTTATTGGTCCATTTTTGTAGGAGGTATTTGTTTTGTGTGTGAGGGGGGGGGGGGGGGGGNAGGGCAACATTAATTCTTCAGTCTCTTTAGTCTATATTTTACTAAGTACTATTTATTTTTTTTAATATACAACAACAACCCAGTATAATCCCACTTAGTGGGGTTTGGGAAGGATAATATGTACGCAGACCTTACCCCTACCCTGGGGTAGAGAGGCTGTTTCCAAATAGACCCCCGGCATCCTTCCCTCCAAGAACTTCTCACCTTACTCTTGAGGAGACTCGAACTCACAACCTCTTGATTGGAAGTGGAGGTTGTCATTTGATATTCGATATTCATTAGTCTAACTAATTCAGATATGTATTACATAGAGCCTATTAAAGGGGAAGCGCTTATATTGAACTAAAGGAAGCAGAATATCAGTGACTATATATGCTTTCCAACACTTGAATGAAATTATGTCAAAGAAATAAATAAAGCAACTACGAGCAAAGACCAAACAGATACATATACAACATACGTTTACAATGTAATTTGATCAAATAAGGAATCCACTTAGAGGATCTAAAATAATTAGAGAAACAAACTAAATTTATGAAATATATTTATTAGAAAGACCTGATATAAATTGGAAAACTTTAGCGTCCTTCCACTCTTAATCAGAGATCTCGAATTCGAGTCTTGAAAATGAAGTCCTCTTTGATAGAAAACGTTAAAACTCCAGTTGAATTGGTCATGCCAAATGACTTGTGAACACCAAATAGTTTAATCAAAGTAAGAAAAAGAGAAGGAAAAAAATAAATACAAACCATGTGTATATTTGCATTTTTTATTTTTGACATTATCTGTCATATAATTAACGGATTCTTTATTTGGCAAGTAAAGTATAGGCTGGCCAATAAAATAATGTGAGATTTAAGATCACGAAATCTAGCTCATTAATAACCTTGCTTATAAATCGTAAGTTTATAGTACAAGTTTTATTATGACATATAGGTAGATAACTTAATCATATAAACTTGGAGAGACTATTTCTATCTATCAATTGTAACACACTTGTGTAATTTCTAAATACTTAAAATTTTCAAGAAATAAAATTCAACATTTGAATACATACCAAAAATTACACGCGTTGAATCTTGTATTGCAAATCCCATCATTCTTTTATCGTCACCAAAAAAATAGTATATATTTTTATATTTTAAAATAATTTAATTTTAAACTTTTATATATTTTTATGATCACAAAAATGTCATGATATTATGATCCCAATTCCAAAACTTTTTTTTTGTTTGTTTTTGTTTTTAATTACGTATACAATGACACATAAATTGGAACGAAAAATATTAGTTCTACCTTTTAATGTGAAAAGAAAATTAGAAACTTGTCACTTGAAAATGGGCCACATAATTTCTCAATAAAATAAGAAAAAACTATACAGTACAGCCGCTCTAAAAAATAGCAAGATATAAAATATATATTTTTTATATATTAATGTATAATGTGTGTGTCTATATATATATATATATATTAGCGGATACAATTATTTTTAGCTGGTCGGTCAAATATGTAACTTCCCCACAAATTAATAGGAGAAAATGACATTGTATGACAACACATAAAGAGAATTGGTAATTTTTTTAGCATTATATTAGTTTGGCAAAGGCAGCCTAAAAAGATTGACATTGTATAGCCAAATCTAAAAAAACTCTAGTTTCTTATCTATTCTCTCTCCCCGTATTTTTTCTTCTCTCTCGAATATTTCTTCTTCTATTTTTTTCTTCAATCTTTTTTTCTTTTCTTTCCCCATATTTCAATATTTTAGCTGGGCCCTTTTATACTGCGTGTGGGAATTACTCTAGATAGAACTATAAAGTTTTCCTTGCAGAACTTGGTCTGCATCTCAAACAAAGTTAGGATAAGGATTTCTATTTATTTTTTTTATTATTATTGTTTCAATTCCAACGATACGGTCGAAGTCTGCCGCATGTCACAAAAGTTTCTCGCACTAATTATTATGAGGATCCAACATTGCGATTACCGAATTATATTTTCCTTTCAAATTACCTATCGTAGATGTAAATTCTCGTACTAATAAATTTCGCCTTTCTTCTCTTGCTTTTTCAAGCGGCAGATTCCAATTTTCTTCTTCTTCCCTCCTTGTCTTTTTTTTTTTTTTAAATTATAAGAAAGAAAATATGTGTGTTTGAGGTGGTATACATTTATGTATATCACCATGTATATCCGTGTGTATATTGTGAATATATTGTTAGATATGGCAATAAATTAAATCGGAATCAAATCGTCCAATTTGATTTTAAGAAGGAGAAATTCATTTTGGATAAACTTATTTCAATTTTGTTCTTGTCAAAGAAGGAAAATAAATTTTAATATAATAGGTTTAGAGCAAGTTCTAAAATATAAAATACTAAATATAATCGTGGTAAATAAATTTTGGTATACATTTTAATATCTAAAAAAATAAAATAAATTTTTGATATATATTTTGATATACACAAAGAAAAAACATAAATTTTTGATATTCATTTTGGTATACACATATTCGATGTGTCATATACTGCGATATACAAGCAATATAATTATTTTTATTTTGATATACATTGATATAAAGACAATAATAAATTTTAAATAATTATATTTAAAATTTCATATTTAAGATAGACAAAGAAGGAAAAAGATTAATATACATTTCGATATACACTAAGAAGGTAAATAAAATTGTGATATACACACTCTTATTGTGATGTATAAATATTGGCTATCTGGTGCCAACTAGAACTTTTTTCTGCCAATTACGTAGGTCCGTTGTCACACCATGCCAAAATTAATAGGAATTTTTACATTCCTATACGCTATATGAAACTATATTATTCTCCCTACTCAAGTTTTACTATAATTACATTTTATATACCCAATTACCATTTATGTACATTTTAAGGGAATTAATGATAATAATTAGTATCCTAAAATCACTCTAACGTATCTTCCACTCCCTCCCCTGTCACGACCCAAAATCCACTAAGGGTCGTGATGGCGCCGGACACCACTGTCAGGCAAGCCAACCACAAATTTACTAGCAATTTCTCATTTTAATTATTTTGAAGTCATTTCCTTTAAACAAATAAATAATAAATAATAAACTCCGCTGGATAAATGAGGATGCCTTTACAAAAATTTAACTACTGAAAAATTCCGTGATCATCCCAGAACCCGGTGTCACAAGTACATGAGCAATTTCTAGGAAATAATATAGTACAACAACCGTCCGGAATACAATATTGGACAGAAAGTAAATACAGTAATTTGAAAGAGACTCTGCTGGCTGCGGGTCGTCTCGGGGAGTGCAGCTCACCTAAGTCTCCGTATCAACCATGCCGCTACGCACAGTAGGCCATTAGAGATGCATGTGCTTGTGCAACAAAAATGCACAGTAAGTGTAGTATGAGTACAAAAACAACGTGTATCCAATGAGTATCCCGTCTAATCTCGAAGAAGTAGAGACGAGAGGTCGACTTCGACACTTACTAGTGGTCCAATGATAAATAGTAAAAGTGTGAGAAATTCATGGATTTCATAAGCAAAATTAAAATTATAAAGCCAGAAACAGGTAAACAACTTTTCAAATAATAAGGATTTCCAAAGATTTACTTTTCATTATCTTTATTAATTTATCTCTGGCCAGAAAAGACAATTATCAACATTTAAAATTCTCAGGCAAGCAATACAAGCATGCGCATATCATGCCGAGGTCGTACGATCCGATCCAACAAAAATGTAAAATGTGCACTACCGAGGGTCGAACAGCCCGAACCATAGATGCATCTATTACCCCGCTCGCGAATCATACTTGCGACGCGGACAAATTTAAATAAACAATCACTCTGCTCGCGAATCATTCATGCGACGCAGGTACACATAGAAATGCATGCTCAAACAACCAATTAAGAATTTATCAGGGAAGACTTATCCAAATAAAAGCCAATTTTCTTTTAATGATTCAAGAAAAATGAAGTTTAATCCTTTGATAAATTCATTTAACAATTCGATAGGATTTAAGCAATTTAACTGTCAATAAGATTATAATTATTCCAAGTATAACATGTTTTTGGGTCCTAGACTACCCGGACTTAAACATAATAGTAGCTACACACGGACTCTCGTCGCCTCGTGCGTACGTAGCCCCCACAAATAGAAGCACATAATTAATTATTTCACATATGAGGACAATTCCCTCTTACAAGGTTAGAAAGGAGACTCACCTCGCTCCGAAATTTCCATAACCGGCTTACAAGCCCTTCCAACGACTCCAATTGATGCACAACGCCCCAAAACTATTCAAACAACAGGAAACCAATAAAAATTCACTCTAATACTTGTAACAATTCAAATTATAAATGTTCCCAACTCCGCTCGAAACATTGACCAAAATGCTCTCGGGCCCACGTGCCCGGATTCCTGAAATTTCTCGAAGATAAATTCTACCCATAGCTTTACTAACTCAAATATCCAATTTGCTCTAATTTTCATGCTCAAATTCAAGGTAAAAGTCCAAAAATTCCAAATTCTAGGTCTTCCCCAAAAATTCCAAATTTATACTAATTTTCCATGTCTAAATCCATGTAAGATCACATATTTAACTCAAAAATAGGAAGAAATCACTTACCTAGTGTTGCTTGGTGAAAATTCCTCCTTTAGTTCTCCAAAATCGTCCAAGCCAAATGAAAGAAATGGGCCAAAACTCGTGTTTAAAACAATCTGCCCATGCTTTGTAGACATGTAATTTTTGACTCTCCCCAAGATTTTATACATTCTAGCGTTAAATATTTAGTTTAGGTCTAATATCGCTATGTTAACTAGTTTTAACTATTTTACTTTATTTTATAACAAAAAATAAAAATTACAAAAATATTTTCTTTTATTTAGTTAATTGATATTTTATCTAGTTAC